TTTACCTGATCTACTAAATTTTTTTATATTTTAAAGTTATAGGGTTATAAAAAGTGTTCAGATGGAATTTCGACACGCACTTTTTATTTAAGGGTCCAAATAAATATTCATTAATAGTTGAAAAGTATTTATTATCAATCACCGAATATTTATTAACTACAAATTAATATTTATTAGTATTTCTAAAATTGTGTATTGATAAAAAATTTATTAACTGTTAATTAATATTTTTCAACTATAAAAAAATTAGGAATACGGTTGACCCTGAAGGCCATCCCTGCAACTTCCCGCCAATTCTATACCCAAACGCTTGAAATTGCACTTATGACGTTTTAGAGCTCTTCGAGCTCATAAATACAATTTGCGTATTATTTTGAGCTCTCCGAGCTCAAAAAATTGATAGAAGTTTGATAAAACAATATTTTTTTTATTTTCAAATCGCAATAACTTTTGAATGAATGAACCGATTTTCACGCGGTTGGTGGCATTCTACGCAGTTTTTTAAGCCTCATATAGAATTCTTAAGTTTCAATTGGTTAAGCTAGAAATTTCGGAGTAATTCCGAAAAAACACTTTTTTTCGGTTTTTTTCGTTCACGATATCTCTTGAACGAATCAACTGATTTTGACCGGATTGGCGGCAATCGACGAGGTTTTTTAAGTTTGAGAGCTGATTAGTTTTTGAAATCGATTGGTAGAGCCGTTTGAAAGTTATTCCAAAAAAACCACTTCTGAAAAAAATTTTTTTCCTATCTTTTCCAATTTTTTTAGAGATTTCTCTAAATTTCTCTAAATCTATCGGTCCGAATCGGTTTTGAACCGATTTTGATTTTCAGGAAATCTAAGTTTAGTGAAGCCCTTTCGAATGGCACCAACCGCGATGAAATCGGTTCAACCAATCAAAAGTTATAAGAGGTTTACATACTTACACACACACACATACATATAGACATAGTGAATAGTGATACCCTCGCGGGAATAGTCAGGGAAACTTCCTAGGACCTCAAAACGTCGAGATCTGATGAAAACTCGATTTTCGAAAAACGGGGTAAAACCAATAACTTCCC